CCTAACCCTTAACTGTACCCCACAATATCATAATAAAAAATATTGATTAAATAAAAAAAAGAAAACTCAATTGTTTGTGGCATTGACCACAATCATGATAATATTGATAATGAAATTCTTGGAGTTCTTTTAATTTGAAACTTATGAATGCCCTATAAGAAAGGACATTTGGAAAGTCTCAACTGCAGCTTTGAAGGAGTTTCTCATCACCTGTATTCCTTTAGGAACTATATGGTTGGGGTCCTAGCCAGGTCTGGATTATAACCAATGCATGCATATTCAAAGTAAAAACCAAACTATACTACTAGAATAGAAAATTTTACTTAAGGGATTTCAAAATACAGTCACAAGCCTTAACAACAGACTAGAGAAAGCAGAATAAAGAAATTAAGAGCTTGAAGGCAAATTCTTCAAATCAACCCAGATAGACAAAAATGAAAAATAAAGAATATTAAAAATGAACAGAGCCCTTAAGAAGTATGAGATTTTGTAAAGAGACTAAATCTACATCTGATTGGCATCCTTGAGAGAGAAGAAGAGAACAAGAACAACCTGGAAAAAGTATTTAGGAACATAATCCAAGAAAATGTCCCAATCTTGCTAGAGTGCTCAATATGCAGATATAAAAAATCAGAGAACTCTTGTGAGACACTATGTGTAGTGGCCATTCTTAAGAAATATAGTCATTACATTATCCAAAGTCAACATGAAAGAAAAAAATCTTGACAACAGCTAGACAGGAAGGCCAGAGCACTAACCAAGTGATGCTAATTAGACTAACAATGGTCCTTGCAGCATTAACCTAACAAGCCAGAAGAGACTGGAGGAACATTTTTAGCATTCTTACAGAAATACGATGACAGTCAAAAATTTCTTACCCCACCAAAAGTAAGTTTCATAAATGAAAGAGAAATAATGTCTTTCTAAGACAAGCAAGTGCTAAAGAAATTTGTCACCACCACAGTGGCCCTGCAAGAGATGTTTAAGGGAGTTCTGAATATGGAAATGAAAGAAGAATGCAATCTGATACAAAAGCGCATATAAGCACACTGCCTCCAGACTATATAAATCAAGCATAAAAGTGAGAATCCAAAGCCTATTTAACTATTTAAAAATGCTATGACAGGAATAAAACCTCACATATTAATAGTAATCTTGAACATCAATATCTTAAATACCCCACTTACAAGACATACAGTGCAAATTGGCTTTAAAAATGACCTATTCTTTTGCTGTCATTAGGAGACCCATCTGACTTCTAATGACACCCATAAGCTCAAATGAATGGATGAATAAATTTTGGTCACACAAATGAAAAGTAAAAAAGAGCAGCAATCAATATTCTTACATTAGGTGACACAGGCTTTAAACAAACAGCAATAAAAAAGGACAATAAAAGCATTACATACTAAAGGACTGAATCCAACAAGAAGTATTAAGTATTCTAATATTTACACATCCAACATGGGACATCTAGATCTATAAAATAACTACTATTAAACTTATTATGGAGAATATGATTGGCATATTTATCATTGTTTCATTTTATTACTGGAAAACTTTTTAATATATGACAGAAAAATCAGGCTTTTTCAAATATAAAACATTTATTGATCTTTTATTATAGCACAGCTAAAATAGAAATAACTGTCCTTATTTTACTGGTGTATTATAGATACTCAAGGGATTTATTTGAGACAATTATTGGTGGGACTGAGATTAAGACCAAGATGCCCCAACTTCTATCTATTTTTATCATGCCATTATAAATGTATAGAAATTCTTCTACCACCAACTACATGGAAAGTAAAGCATTTAGTGCCCATACTTTGTTATAACACATTGATGGGATAATTATTAATTATATAAAATAAGGTAAAATAGAAGCAATTTATATTCATTAAGGATTTTTATGTGTCAGATACTCTATAGAGATTATAGCATACCCTTGAAAGATGCGGAAAGATAAACATTATTATTCTTATTTGGTGGATGAAGAAACTGAGGTTTAGCAAGATCAAGTAACTTTCCCAAGGTCATACAGTTAGAAAATAGCAGAACTTATACAAGGGCTCTTTTCTACATAATTGAAGACCTGAATGTTTGCCAGTAGTCAGTGGAAAGTACAGCCTTAAATCTGTTTACTCACTCTGACAAGTTTGTTGACTTTTCTGAGCTTTAGTTTTATCCTTTTAAAAATGAGGAAAACGTCTATCTTTAATGATAGCTATAAAAACTTAATGAGATTTAAAGTAATTTGTTCATTGCTAGCTCTTCATGTGGATCATCTGGGAGAGCACTCAAAGTTCACCAGAGAAGTGACAAGAACCACAGAGAATAGAGGAGACCGAGACCAAGCAAACATATGACAAAATGCTCAACATCACCAATCATAAGAGAAATGCAAATTAAAATCACAACGAGTCACCATCTCATATCAATTAGAATGACTTTTACTAATAAGTCAAAAAGCAACAGATATTGATGAGGTTGTAGAAAAGAGAGAATGCCCACACATTGTTGGCAGGAATATAAACTAGCCCCTTGAAGAACAGTTTGGAAATTTCTCAGATAACTAAAACTAGATGTACTGCTCAATCCAGCAATTCCACTCCTAGGTATATTCCCAAAGCAACACAAGTGTTTCTACCAAAGAGACACCTTCACTTATATGTTAATTGCAGCACTATCTACAATAGCAAAAACATGGAACCAACAAGATGTCCATCAGTGGTGGATTGGATAAAGAAAATGTGGTACGTATATACCATGGTATATTATGCAGTCAAAAAAAAGAATAAAATCATGTGCTTTGCAGTAACATGATTACAGCTAGAGGCCATTATTCATGCAGAAATAGAAAACTAGATAGAACTGAGTGTTCTCACTTATGAGACCTAAACACTGGACATAAATATGGGAACAAAAGACACAGGAGACTCTTGAAAAACGGAGGGTAGGGGTGAGAGTTAAAAAACTACCAATAAGGAACCATGCTCACTATTTGAGTGATGGGTTCAACAGAAGCCCGAGCCTCACCATCATGCAATACACCTATGAAACTAGCTTGCTCATGTACCTCCTAAAGTTAAAATGGTAATAAAAGAGAACTTTGTATATTTAATGAATATAGGGAACAAAAAAAGGCAGTTCTCTAGCAGCAAGTTCACTGGTTAGGGATTTAGAAAGGGAATTCAAAGATTCCTGATTTTAAAACAATTGGTCTTTCAATAATAATATATACTTGATTTGTAGTTAGTGGGAAGGAAAAGTCCTATTTTCTCATATTTCACAGAGCATACATGATTTGCACATTGAGTTATTAAAAAAAATAAGCTAAAGGCTAGATCTGGACTGTTTCTGGACTGCCAACTCTACATTTCTCCCTCAGCCATAGTCTGTCCTTTTTCCATATGTGACACCAAGGATATGGTTTAGAAATTAATGGTACAACAGAGTGATTTTAAAGCGGGTCAGTTCTAACTCATGTACAGAAATATCATCAGAATGCTTAACAAATCCTGGATGTTTTATACCTAAAACTCTTTGGTACCTTTCATGCTGAATGTATTTGTTCTATATTTTAAGGTAACTGTCGTGTTTCCCTTACCTTTCACTATATTGTACTGGAGGAAAGGTTGAGATAGAGAGATAATTGAGTGTAAATATCGGAAACTAATGGTTTGATGGAACTTGTAATGGAACTTCATCATGTCTGAGAAAAAGTTACCTTTTCCCAAATCTCAATCTTCTTCCTTTACCTGCCACTGTAAACTAGCACTCTTGTTTCTAATTAAAGATTTTTTGCCTTCAGAACATATGAGGAGAAAGTATATCCTCTTTTCTTGTCAGTCATTAATGTACCAGGGTTGAAGGGCCTGGGCATGTTAGTGGAAGACCTGTGGCAATCAAGGAAAAACTGGGCTTTAATTAAGACAGAAGAGAGAAAAAATTTTATCTGTAAAGAGGTAAACTAATCTTATAGACATTACACTCTTGCTAACATCATTTTTATCAGTTGCTCCGAATTGTATCTTTCTTAGAGTCAGAATTCAAGGTTTCTCTGAGGGCTAATAAGATGTCAATATGTGAAGTTGACAAAAGTTAGATGACCATCCCTTTTTAATATTAAACAGAGAATATCAGTAGGGTCCAGTGATTATGAGATGAAACCAAACACTTGAATAAATGGAAAGCTGAGGACAGAAAAAATAAGGGGTCTTATCAATGCTCATACAGTTAGTAACCAGCAGAACTTGTCTCCAGTTCTTATTCTTGGAATATGTGTATTTTCTGATTTTGTTACTAGTGGAAGGAGATTCAGAGAGATTATACAGCAACTGAAATCACAACAAACTCTTTATTGAAACACATTCTTATATTTATACTCTCCAGAACCTGGAACATACAAAGCACTTGCAAGTATTTGCTAAACATATGAATGCATGGATTTCAGATCAAGTTAAATCATCCCTCATACCAGACCCGTTTTTCATGCTTTTAAATATATTTTGTTCGACTTAGTTTCAGAGTAGAAAAATTTCCAACATTTGTACCTAGCATTCCTCATGACCCATTCCCTTCAAAAACAATGCTTTAGAGTGGTTAGTTATTTATTTCCTCTATCAAGTCCTGCTGCAATTTCTAATTGATAAGTGAGCCAACTTTAAATAAAAAACAAATGCATCTTGCTCAGCTTGTCTTTCAAAAATATTAATTTAATTTCTATTTCTTTCAGATTGTAGAGTTAAGATTTACAGAAAACCGTTCAGAATTTAATATTCACTCAACAAGGAGATAATAATTTGAGTAGTGTTTGTTTGCATTTTCTATTTCCTGCCACCATTCTTCTGTCACTTTCATTGATCTATAAGATCAGATTTTCATTTTTTTTGGTTATTATTGAGGTTTTTTCCCAATTAGTTTTTTGAAAGCTACTTTCACATCCTTGTTCCGTAAACTATAGATCAAAGGATTCAACATGGGGATGATAATTGTGTAAAATACTGAGGCCCACTTATCTTGATCCAGGGAGTAGCTGGATGTTGGCCTCAGGTACATAAACATGACTGTGCCATAGAAGAGGGTGACCCCAGTAAGGTGAGACCCACAGGTGGAGAAAGCCTTAAGACGACCTTCAGTTGAGCGCATTCTGATAATTGCAATGAGAATGAAGGCATAGGAGATGAAGATGATGAGGATGGTGCTGAATTCAATGAAGCCACACAGACTGAAGAGCAAGAGCTCACTGATGTAGGTGTCAGAGCAAGAGAGGGCCAAGAGTGGTGGGATTTCACAGAAGAAATGGTTGATGATATTGGAACCACAGTAACTCAGGCCGAAGGTGAGAATAGTGTGGGCTACTAAGCTCACTAGCCCAGCCAGGTAAGAGCCCAGCGTGAGAGCCAAGCAGACCCGCTTGGACATGAGGGTGCTGTAGTGGAGGGGTTGACAGATGGCCACAAAACGATCATAGGCCATGGCAGCCAGGACATAGCACTCGGCATCCACAAAACCTACAAAGAAAGCAAACTGGGTGGCACAGTTGGAGAAGGAGATCACTTTGTATTTTGTTAGAAAGTCAGCCAGCATCCTGGGGGCAATGGCTGAGGAATAGCCCAGGTCAACCAAGGAGAGGTTGCAGAGGAAAAAATACATGGGTGTATGAAGCTGAGTGTCTGTTATGATCAGGATAATCATACCAACATTTCCCACTACATTGACCAGGTAGACTATGAGGAAGACCACAAAGAAGATGATCTGCAGCTGAGGGTCCTGAGTGATGCCCATAAAGATAAACTCAGTCACCACTGAGTGGTTTTCTTTACTCATTGTTTCAGTTGTATGTGTGCCTGGATTTTGTTTATGTATGAGTGTAGTGATTTTCTTGTTTTACTTAAAATATTCAATAACATGCCAAGGATGTTCTAAAAATATATGTACGTATATTTGTATATATATGTGTATAGCTCCAATAAATGAAGGCTTTGTTTAAGGTGATTTTAAAAATCCTCCCAGTAATTAGACTCTATGACCTGTGGGGTAACTCAAATGACTTTGGTGAGGGTGATGGCCTTGTGTTCACTCCACATACCCAGTCACAATAAAAGATGTTAGCTTCTTGGGAATGGCAGGTTCTGCTTCTTCAGTGGCCTTGCTGCTCTGAGTTCATTACTCACACGATACCAGATATTTGACCTTTTCTGCACAAATATTAATTAGCAAGGAAAAACAGGTTTGAATGTTTCTTCTTTCTAAAATAAGGCAAATATAAATGCGGATAATGAATAAGACTTTTTATTGTAGGTGGACATAGCAAGGAAAATGAATGACCCAAAGACCTGAAGGTATAACATGTCACACACTTACATAATATGAAATACTTGGAGCAGAGTCAGAAACATACAAAAAGAGTAGAAAATAATACTTTGTAAAAAGCCAGGATTACTGATTATTTACTACATGCAAGAACTTTATTGAATGTTTTATGTACATTATAGAATTTCATCATCATAACAATTCTGTGACAGAGTCCCAACATCACCTCCTTCTATTACGTTAAAAGAACAAGGCTAGATATCAAGTAATTTAAAAAAGTCAACAGTAAGTAAGAAGCAGAGCTGCGTCTGTCTGAGTCTAGGGTCTATTTCATTGTATTGCTTTCTGTGTATATATAATTTGATGTAGGTTATATCTCTTGATTTTTGTACCTGTCTCTCTTTTTTTCTGTCCTGTTCATGTATGCACACAGAATTAATTTTTGGGTTTCTTGATCTTTAGAAGTGCTCAGGGATAAGGCTTGTGGCATAATCAGGGTGAAGACACAACGGAGTGTCTTTGATTAAATTTATTGCCTAACCAGCAAACTATTGCATAATTCAGCTCAGAGTTAAAATTCATGAATCCTTCACTCAGGGGGAATAGAAAAAGCACTATCCAACTCAGTGGGCACACAGGAATATGCATTTATTAAGTGCTTTTCTCTCTGGTTGGATGAATACAAAGATACAAGGTCCTTTGCAGAATTCTAAGGGGTATTGGGCAAAACCAAACCATCCAAACCAAACCAAACCAAAACACAAAAGAATTTTAGAAATCAGTAGCAACCCCTACCTAAACCTGAAGTGAGAAGACAAACTGTATCTGCTTAAAAAAACTGACTTACTGTTAGGAAAGAAGGGAAACCAGGGTAGTATAATGTATGGTGCATAGGATTGTAGACATTCATAATAGCTTATTATAAATCCTAGGATTTAAACATGATGAAAGTTGTATTCCCAGCTTTCAGTTTCTGCACTAATATTAGCAACTATAACAAAGAAGGTATTCTAATAATACACTGTACCACAAAGTAATAGTTTATAAGTACTTATATGAACTCCTGCTCAACCATTCTTAATATGTTGTGAATGTGTGCATCATTTCATATATTAGGTCAATTAGGAATAGAGAATAAAAAGACTAAGGAAGGAATTTTAAAAATATTTCTGATAAACTGTACCCATAATACATAAAGATATTTAAAAACTCAATAATAAGAAATCAAATAACTCCATAAGAATGAGCCAAAGATTTTAGCTGATACCTACAAAGAAACACATAAATAGAAAATAAATGCATTAAAAATACTCAAGTATTTATATTAGGGAAATGCAAGTAAAAGCCACAATAAAATATAGATATTAAATACTAAATTGTAATGTCTATTGTTAAAAAGACTGACCATACCAAGTGTTGACCAAGAAGTGGAAGAATTGAAAAATTCACTGTAATTGTGTCAGATAGTAAAAACACTTTAAAAATTTCTTGTAAAATAAAACATATACGTAAGAACTCTATGATCCAGTCACTTAAAAACAAAACAAAACAAAACCCTTGAAAACAACCTAAATATCATCCATAAGTGACAGGAAAAATAGATTGAAGTATGTCCATAAAAAGAAATATTTCTTAACAATTAAAAGGAACAGATCATTGATACATACATCATTAGTGAATCTAAAAACAACTAGGCAAAGATTTTTTTTAAAGCCACATTAAAAAAAGGCTAAATCTTGTGTGAGTCCACTTATAAAACTAGAAAATGTAAGATAACCAATAGTGACATACAACAGATCAATGATTTCCTGGGTTTAGGTGTGTGTCAGGAGTAGTATGGAGAATGTTTCAAGAGGAAGGAGGAAATTTTGAGAGTGATAGTTTTTATTTTTTTTACTATCTTGATGTTGACTAAAGTTTGTATGTGCATACATATATTAAAACATATCAAATTTTATACTCTAACTGTATTAATTTTTTTGTGTGTGAGTCAGTTATACCTCAAAGCTATTTTAAAAAGAACAGAGTACTTGCCACTATTCCAACTCAGCTAAATCTCACCATCTGTGCAAGCAGAAACTATCTCATAGGTTAGGTTTATGAGTAAATAAAAACTTAAACTAAATAGCTTAACAAAGACATACTGGGTTCATTGCAGAATCAGCTATTGAATCCGAGACTGCCAATTTCCCATGAAGTGCTGTGCTCATTTCCTCCCCCAATGCTTCACATAAGGATTTGAAAATATCCCAGGAAAAACAAAAACAAAAGAATTATGTGCAATTTGTCAGCATGTTCTTCCACTTTAACAAGAGAAAAAATAACATTGTTGTTGAAAATAGAAGGAGTTGTTTAATAAACTTATACTTTTATAGATGAAGAAACAGACTCCTACAGCAAGCCTTAAGATGCAAGGGCCATATGAAACTTCAATATTGAGAGGTCTAAGAGATAACCTTATAGTAAAATAGTTTCAGAAGTCAAAACTATAGTCCACATCTGAGTAGGTACCAATCAATCCATTTCAACTCAGTTGGAAAATGTAATTAGAAAATGATTTTTTCTCCCTTATGGATTCTAGGATTTGGTTAAATGAGACAAAGTATGAGAAGGTGCTTTCCCAGTCATAAAGCGCCTTACCTGCTCTTTTTTTAATAGTGGACAGACAAATCTAGGCTTTACTATTTCCTACTATTGATTCCAACATAATGCTCATCTTCTTTGAGTCATAGTTTTCCTCTGTTAATTTAAGTTAATAATGCGTAACATAATAACTTTCTTTACAAACTGATTAGAATATATACAAAAGACTGATTCTAGTGACTGTGCTAGGTGTTGAATGCATTTGACCATTGTAAGTATAGATGCCTTAATTCAGTAGATAATTATGCACGTATAACTTTTAGGAAATAATGCTTAATGCCTACTCCATAAAGGTGATATATCATGAACTGCCCTAACTTTTAGGGAAGCACGAATTTAATTTTATAGCACTTTCATTAAATGATAAGACAAGGCTTTAATATTCAAAATCCCTGCTGGACTAAGACAAAAGGAAATAAAACTAAATTTTTCTTTTTAGTCTCATGTGGCTAAAGTCAGCCCATCTGACTCATGAACAAATGGAAGAAATATTGAGTAAATAAGCATATTGCACTGTTAATAATAAAATCACATATTTAACAGGAGACCAGCAAATATATCATGTCATGAAAATAAACAGAGGACAAATACATTTTAGATTTCTATGTATCAACTGCTTTTGCAAGTTCATATGAAAAAAAATTCTGGAGTGAGAGGATCTGGAGATTCTGGTTGTATTCCCATGTTTTTCACTAACAGGTTATTTGCTCTCAATGAATTGTTTTATTAGACTAAGTTTCCTTATCTGTGAAACAGTTGGAGTGGAGAATACAGATTCTACATAACCTTCCTTTTCTACCATTTTCTGATTTGGGGCTTATACATAAAAGTTAAAATCCATGACATATGTCCTTCTGAAATATTGAAAGGTCAGGAAGCTGGTGCTAAGCAGACCCAATGCTCAAAGCAGCACTGGACAGTATAATGTTCCACCCCCAATAATCACATCTCTTTCTAAATACTGACCTGTGACCTGTATGCTGTTGGTGAGAGGCTGAATGTTCTTCTTTAATGGGTTACATCAAACACATATTCTGAGACAAATTTAAAGGTAGTAATTGTCTGAGCTGCTTGCTCATCCCATCCTCACCCCTGTGTGAAGGAGGTATATAATCATCAGAGTCACAAAAAATTCCCCAATGAATTAAGATGAATTTTTTTTCTGTGCTCACATGAAACTCAAAGATTTGATAAACTGTGATCCTCTAGGGAATTCAGCTCTCTCTTATTTCAAACATAGTGAGAGAAGAGAGAAACACAGGGGATTTTTTAAAGACTCAAGTGATGATTGAATCTTGAGCTATTTAGTGCAGTCCAAAGAAATCTACATGTAATTGAGAAATATCTTTTGGTTGATGCCTGAAAGTCCTTTTAAAGAGGATAATACTTTTTAACTACAATGGAATAGCATTAATGTACTTTTATAAGTTAAAAATAGCCTCAAATTTCTTACGTGTTAAATTGAAATAATAACAGTTTAAACAAATGAATTTATTTCTAATTAAAACCCCAAAACAAAACAATGCACAAACACCCTTGGAGATGTTGCATTTGTCTACTACCTTCATTGTGGTGTTGGTATCATAGGTATTTGCATATGTCTAAACATCATATGCATTGAATATGTACAATCCTTTGTATAGTAATTAGACTTCAACATAGATGCTTACAAATAACTTCGAGTGTCATCAAGGAGTTACCATAAAGTCTTACAGAAGTTCTTTGTATAAAACATTGTTTTTCTATAAAGGAAATGAAGAAGCATGAATTTAAAAAAACACTTTTCAAAGTTCTTTATTCTTGTCACTGTGGACATTCAAATGAGCTTGGTCATGTTCAGTGAACAAAATTAGTTTAAATTTTCTTTTTCTTTTTGTATAAATGATACT